TAAAGCAGCGAGCCCTTCAAAATGAAGGACACATAAAATGTACCCAAGGCCACAACCAGTGCAATCAAATTAGGCGTCACCCAGAGTCACTCCGTACATACTCCGTACTATTGTTGCCATTCTCAAGGATCTTCATTCTCAAGCACTAAGCTATCTTTGTTACAGGCATTAGTCCTTAAGAACTCAGACGCCACTCTTGTCTAAAGGTGAAATGGAAAATGCTTTATACCCGTTTATGAATTCACAGCTTGACTTCTTAGCACTTAGGAATCAAATCTTTAGAGCGGATCCTCTGTAAGCGTATTATAGGTGAATATGGTTCAAAATTCCTGAGCATTGTTCCTGAGAAATGTTGAGCCCCCTGTTCAACTGCACTCCCAGCTCGAAGTTTGAGCGGGTTCAAACTTTCTTGGCAAACATATCGCTGCTCCATGGAACTTTGATAAGATACAGTTTGAGTTTAATTCCTTTTCAATCTTGTTTAAGACTTTGTAATTCTATGATATTGTCATTATCTTTCTTTTATTAGATAGAGCGAAGCGAAGTCTCTAAAAATCATATAAAGTTTCAGAGGGAGAGAGGCTCAAAAGTTGCTTCATTTTATGATTGAAATAATTGAATATTAATGTATGCAAAAATGTGGCTGAAATCTCAATGATTTCATCAGTATAAAGGAGATTTCTACATCTCTGATTGATTTGAATATTTAGTTCATAATTGGCTTAAATAACCCCTACTTTTATCTCTGAATTGATATCCGATCGGTTGCTAATAAAATAGGGAATGCTAACTTAATACCTGGCTACCTGCCTACCTACCTCAGATACATATCTATTTACAGTCTACTGAACTACTTGAATAAATGATATTCGCTAATGACATCTATTGATGACTTCTAGTAATAACATCCGCTAATGATATTATCTAGTGAAACTACATCTATCAATTGTATTAATTGATAATATATATAATATCTCAAAACGTGGCTTCAAGTTTATTGAGCTTACTATTGCTCAATTCTCAACTGCATATTTCATGAAGCTTTTACTATAAAGTGTTATGTCTAAACTTTTCAATCCTTTAGAGGAATTACAGATACTTTCATCTCTAGAATTTAGAGGTTTATTCGCCCACTCCCAGAAGGGGGATGATAGGAGCAGACTGCCTCTATTAATAATTCTGATATAAGATAGTATGAATAATGCTATAAGAGCACGGAAGTATCTATATAAGGAAACAGCTAAGTGGCGGTAGAAGAACGCAAAACGTGATAGAATAACAACAAGCAACACGGCACTATTGATGGCAACGCTGCCTATATAATGCTCGCTGATATCCGTAGATCATAGGAGATCAACGATTAGCTTTGAATAAAAGAGATTGCTACCTTCTAGTATCTTCGTTATATGGCGGTGAGTAATACAATACTCCCAATCCTCAAGATATTTAGAGAAATCACGTATCGATTGCCACTCCTGTTGCTTAGCATCCTGGAATCTTTGGCTCACCAATCGACGTTGGTTCTGCGGATCGTTCGTTAATCTGTATTTCTAGGTGTGATAACATGTCATTGAATGTCAACGGTGTTGCTCCTTCACGTCTCTCATGCGATGATACAAAATTCAACCACTTCTGTTTAACGTGAGCATCAAGGTAAAGTTTAGCGTCGTTTATCTTGCGTTCTTCCTTTCGATAATATCGGCGGTGGCGTGCGACGAAAAGAGTCAACATGCGATCTTTATAATCCTTGAATTCTAACATTTTTTTTCCCAGATAGTAATCCTTAATTTCCAATCTCGGGGGTGTTTCTATCATCATCATCTATACCACTTGTGGGTCGATCAAGCGGCAGTTCTGCGGCGGTATCCTGGATCGGTCGGGACTCGATAGAAGAATCTTCGCAAATCTGCGCTTCCAATTCGTTTAAGACGCTGCTGCGCATGCAGAATAGCTAGTTGCTGCTCCCGTTCGCGGATTTGATCGTTCAACTGTTGCAATCGAGTGTTGTGCTCATCGGGGGCAGTTGAGGATTCGGGTTGGTTTTCCAGGGATCTCGCGCGTGTGGAAACCATCTTGCGTGTTTTAACTAATGTTGCGAATCTCGTTATAAGAGTGTGCGTAACAACAGACCACTCAGACAAGGTTTAGAGCGACTAGAATTGTAAGAAGGTTGACTACATGATGCGCTCCTTCGGAGAGTATAACATTGCAATTACCGTCACCGATCATCAGAGGTAGTTGTGAGAGTAGTGTGAGGTACGCACGAAGATACTAGAAGGTAGCAATCTCTTTTATTCAAAGCTAATCGCTGATCTCCTATGATCTACGGATATCAGCGAGCATTATATAGGCAGCGTTGCCATCAATAGTGCCGTGTTGCTTGTTGTTATTCTATGCGTTCTTCTATCGCCACTTAGCTATTTCCTTATATAGATACTTCCGTTGCGCCTATTACAAATGCGCAAAATAAATTTCAATATGTTGTTTCATTTTCTGTTAGGCATCACTACGGCTACCCCAGGCACGTGCCACCCAACACATTATGTTGCTCTCGCTTAGATAGTGTTATTCCTCCTACATTTTCTCTTCAATCTATTAATTTACATAGTCATACTATAGAATATCATGGCTAATAAATATGTACAGTACATTATCAGATAAAATACGCTGCGTAAGCAGTAGTTATCTCAAAGCCTTTTCCTTGTAAAAAGCTATAACTTAGTATTTTACACGTTTATTTAAATATAAAATAAATATTTACAATAGATTTCTTATCTATTTTTCTCCTAATTATATTCAAGTTGGATTTTTTTTTGATGTAGTCAAATGACTTTGGACTGATACTATATTTACTTTATACACTAGAAACTATAAATATAGTAACTGCTATATAGATGAAAAAAATTAAAATGAAACACCGTGAATAGGATAAACAGAAAAAGTAAACAGAGTCATTTGAGCAAAGTGAAGCCTAAAGAGAAATACTTGAAAACATGAAAATGTTATGTTTATATTTATATACTTGAGAAACCGACAGATTTATAAAAGTAGAATAGAAAGAAGGCGCAAGCCCATGACAACTTAAAATGCCGAAACCAAGGAAATCATTTACCGACAACCATTTAGCAGTGGTGTGCTCAGCTTGGATCCTGGTCCACGGAAATCATCGCGGTTTCAACCATGGTCCAACCTTTCATCAAGGGCTAAATATATTACATCAAGTACAAAAGTGTCAATATATCTATAGAAGTGCCTCCGCAACATCAGAAGGCCCGGTGCCGCTTGTACTGTACATGTATATATACTGGACAGTCCCCCTCGTGTCATCGGTATAACCAACTGCGCCGCAAGCTTTAATAATGCAGTGAATTTGAATGTAGTCGTAGTGTAGTGTACATCCGGGTATCACCCACATCGCATAGAATAGTCAAAACGAATGCGCGTATATATATGTGCATGCGCGATGTTAGCCTCCATCCCATACGAACTGGCTCGTAAAAATGACACAATGCAGGCAATGCAATGGGGAAAAATTACTATGCGAGGAAGAGGGTGGGATTTCTCATAGCAGAGAATACTGAGACTTGTAAGTTAACTAGTGTTCTTGGCTCCTCTTTCAAGGGCTAGGTGTTTCATTGAGCACTGCCTATCCTCGTTCGCCCACTTTCCGATGTTCAGAAAACACGGCCTTGGAGGGGATATTTACGAAGTTCGCGCGCTTTAAGCACTTGAGTGTTAAACAAGGAAGGTAGAGAAAGATCAGGAATTGCCGCCACACTTCAATCGCATTTTGTGACGCCGCGCACCCAGCCTAACCGTTAGGGTTGCAGATCGATGACGATCAATTCGTTCTCTCTTAACTAGTTAGTCCTTGAGAATCAAGACGTTTGTCTTCTACCACGATGTCCGCAAACCTCAATCCATATCAACAATCACAGTGTTGCCTTATCATCAGCAGCTGCTGGTTTTATTCTCACATGTGGAATACATGATAGTTCTCTTGTAAGATCAGGTTCAAGTTCCAAAGAATGGAAAGTGCTGTGAATATACTCAACCGTCTGGATCTTCCCCAGTCCTCTATATTATTTAGTAGCAGACTTGAGCCTCATATTCTCCTTGTGTGGAAAATGAAGTCTAACTATTGCCGCTTTTTGTTTTGTTCTGATAATTCCAGGATGGAGGCTCTGATAAAAGGAGTTGTCTCAAGCCGATTGCAAAAGTAGTAACATTTTCTCAGGAATTGGAGGGCTGCATATTGCGTAGAATTTCTTGAGGTCACGGCCCACCATCAGCCAGTGATGTGCTCCATAAATCAACTCAAACTCCATGGCAAGAAAGTTTGGACAAAGCTATCCAGCAAGCCAATCAAGCTTGGCTCCCCTAGTTATGTAACCTGGTTTGCATCCGTGTGTTGCTCGTTTCTCCTGCTGCTGTTCCACGGTAGGACAGGATCCCGTAGTTCTCCCTTGGGCCTGGGGTTGCCTGATCCAAAACTTTATCTACAACGCTCTCGCAAATGATTCCCACCTAGGTTATTGAGTAGGTTGGGGATATTTTCGGCTGCCTCAGAGTTACGTTAAGCGTCTATTTTTAATAAGTGGGCCGCGTTAAATCATAAGACGGAGAGCTAGACGACCACTGCGGTGCCCCCGCGATTTTAGAGGCGGGTCATTCCGAGTCGTTAGCGAAGGGACTACAACCATCTCAATCAAAGCCGTTTCCAGGTTGGTGGTGGTGATAATTACCATATTGAGCCGACGTAAGGGAGGGCAGGTTGGTGTAGTTAGATGTAATCTCATTTTGCTGTCATTATTATGAATGCGAGCAACTTTTTCAAGGCGGCGCGTGGAAGATCCTCAACTGCAGCCCAGCGTCACAGGCAACCCTTTCACTCTGCTCGGCATGGGGAGGGATTGTGGCACCAAATGTCGCTCATTGGTTTTTTTAACCCCATCGTCATTATTGCGGAAACGGTGGCTTCTGACTTGTCCGCAGGTACTCCGTACCTCAGCCGGTTTTCACGGCTAGTCAATTGTTGGCTCCTCGGATTACAAGGATGGGGCCTTAGCCGGTAAGCTACTGCTGGGTCCCACCGCCCGCAAAAATTGAGGATGCACGCCCTGATGGCTGGAGGCTGTCGCATGCTTGGGCTCCAACTTTTTCTTTTTCCTTTTGCTTTGGCCTTTGGCGCTGGTGGAAGGGAAGTGCAGCATCTAAGAAAAGAAGTAATCTGCCGCTAACCCTCATCATCATAGTTTCTTTTTCGTTTTTCACTTTCCTTTCTTCCCTCATCGCCTTCCATGAAACTCTCCTACCACCGTTTGCTGTTTCACACCGTACTCACCCGACAAAGCTCTCTGTCAGCCACACGCTTCCCTCCCTTTTTTTTCCTTTTCTTTCTTTCAACAACACTATACCACAAGCAAATCATTTGGTCGTCAGAATTTTTGATGTTTTCAACCCTGGGGCCCTCGTTTTTCCACAACAGGATTGCCTAAAGGTAGAAGAATATGGATGAAATCCCAACAATGGACCCCCAGCCTCCGCTCCACCAACCGTTCACTCGCAAATCTACATTCGGGGGTATTCTACAAGAATCCGGACCCGTCCCGTTGCCTCCACGGTTATACGGACCGGGCTCACTACCGACAACTGGATGGTCCCAAGGAACCTACGACCCACTCACACGCGGAGAAAATGAGCTCTCGCCAGCAGCACCCTCAGGACCACCTCTGTCGTCCCTGATCTATCCACCTCATGCTTACCATCACGAAATCATCCGCTATGCGAAACCATCCCCATCCCCGGGCCCCATCGCGTCCATGCATCCCGAGCCCACGCCAAGTTTCCATTCGCGACATTCGAGTCGCGGTTCGGTTATAAAAAGTGGTGAAGGAATGAAGGAGCCAAGCAACGCCATATATGGTGAAGGTAAGGGAAATATTTCAAGACCCATAGATTAGCACCAGTGATAGTATAGATCTGTGGGTTCCCATCTTGTTGTGTTTTCCGAACATTGCGAGGTGATATCTTCGTTGGGGTGTTTCTCGAACCCTGGTACAGCAGCCGGGACAGCAAACAAACCCGCCAAACTGCACGCCAGCATTGTGACTAGCTCCAACCGGCTGGCAACAAAGCAGGTTGCCAAGTTCCCGAAGTCCCCAAGTTTCCCTCACCCAGCCTCCGGTCTGTCTGAAGTTATCCATGGATACCTCAGGCCAGACCCCTGCTGTCCCCTGCCCGGCTTACCTAATGACCCTGGATCGGCTGCAGTGCTGCGCCGGACGGGAACGCTAGCCTGATCTGGACTAGGGTCTCGGCACTGCCCAGCCGAACCAGTCCCGTGACCCGCCCCATTCCCCAGCAACCTTGGAACCTTGGGCTCTGCAGAGCGTCCTGTCCGCACACGCTGACACTTTGGTTTGTTCTCCCACAGCACGTCAACCTCATCCACCACCACCTGCACCGCCCACCATGTCGTCGCGGGACATGTCGCATCCCTCGCAGCCCTACGAGCAGGCAAGGCGACAGTCGCTGGGCAGCAATGACAGTTCTCCTGTCCATCCTGGTGAGCAACCACCCCTGTTTTCTCCTTGGCGTAAGCTCTCTGCGAAATGCTCGCCCGTGGTGATTGCGCCCGCCAGACTCGCGTTATAATGATATACAATACTTAAGTTGGAATAATTATACACTATCGCCTCTATTGCGGAAGAATGGCTCTTCCCGAAAAACTATCCTACCGTGTTTGACTGTTATGATGTTGTCTCCCTAGACCGAGCTTGCTAACTAGAAACCTTAAAAAAGCCTCAGGGCAAGTTGACCACCCCAGCGTTCAGCAACCGCCTCTACCCCCTTCGTCCTACAATAGTCGCCAGATGCCTCCTCCATCTCCTCCCCAGCACTACCATTCGCGTGGAGGCCCCATTCCAGCCGCCCCTCCTCCCCAACCGCCCTCCTTCGCTCCACGTGAACCCCCCCAACCATCCGCACACCGCCCAGGTAGCAGCATGTCGATATCGTCAATGTTAGGGACTGATTCAGATCGCCCAACTCGGGATAGCGGCCCTTCCTCCCTCTATGGCCGATCCGCCATATCTTCTATTCCATCCGGCTTACATGGACCGCCACAGGGAGCAATGTCGCCCCCATCCACCGCTTCAAGACAACCACAGCCATCCTCTGATTTCCCTCCCTTGAGACGTTCTCACACTCCAGAGAGGGCTCTATTTTCAAAACCGCAACCCCCTCGCCCGTACCGCTCGAGCTCGGGAAGCGCGCCACAAAGCCAACCCCACCCTCCTGATGATACGTTGCGTTTTGGGGGCGTTCCTCGGTCCCTTGGTACGGCCTCGGTATACGGAGACAAGCAACAGACAACCCAAACAGGCCCCTCTGGGCACTTTGCGATGTCTTCGTATGACAACGGCCGGCGTGGTAGCATAAATGGACCGATCCAACGGCCTAGCAGCCAGCCGCACCAAGAAGAGCCTGCATCGAGGAGACCCTTATTCAGCCCTGGGCCAAGAACATCAGGTCCCAACTTTGGAGAAAGCCCAACAGAAGCTGGATCACAACGTGTAACACCTGGATATCCAGGGTCAGAAACAGCGTCCCATGCGCAACAAAGATATGGTATTCAGCACCAAGAACGGCTTGGCCCTACAGATCCGGGGGCCCGTGAACAAGAACACAACACCAGATTACCTCAGGACATGCAACAGCAACAGGCACGATTTGGGCCGCATTTTGGAGAACGGGAACCGGAGGGGCCCCCGCGGCGTACGTGGGATTCAGGCGGAATCCAACGCTTGTCTTCTGAAACAGCTCGACATCCCGTTAGCAACGAATTCGGCGGTCTGCAGAGCTACGTAAAATCTCATGAATCGCAGTTGTCCGGGCCTCGATCAACGCCTGGGTCGCATTTGCAACATCACCAACAACGGCCTGAGCCTTTGCAACATAATGATTCAGTGGGAGGCTCAAACCTGGGCAAGTTTCAACAACCTTCGCGCATTTTCTCTCCAACTTCTGGATCAAGCTCCCAACGACCTCTCGGTGGCATGGGCGAAGACCAGAAACGTAAGGACAGTGACGAACCCTTTCAACACCGTAGTCTCCTTAACATTAACGCGGAGAATAAGCGAGAAGGAAGGTCGTCACCACTTCCCCAAGCGGTTCAAGGTGCACAGGCTCAGATAATCGGTCCAGCTGAAGAGGCCGGAATCAAGAGCGAACTTGGCCGTGTATTTTCGGGAATTGGGAGTGGTGTCGGTGTTTCTGCAGCTGGACATCCGGGAAGTGGACCCCCCACACCCATGATCTCGAGCCCCTTTAAGCGGGATGCTATAGTTGCACGTTCAACTGGGGGAGAGATGAAAGAACTTGCGGCGAAACCAGCCCGAGCTAGCGTTTCTGGACCTCCACGACGTGGTCGAAAACCCAAAGACGATGATGCAAAAGGTGAGGGCGAAAGCAGTGTTGGACCATGGGGTGGAGGGACGACCCGTGGTCGACGGCCGAGACATGTCCACCATCACCATCACCATGGCCATCAGTAAGTTTTTTGATATCCATGTTCTATCTTTGCTTTACCATTTTTTCCCCGGCTCTTTTCTTACTAACTTTCTGCAGTCACCATCACAGACATAAGCTAGACGATGAGACTCCAGGATCTATTGCCGTACAAAACACAATTCCGCCGACTGGCGTAGCCAGTTTCCAGCGATCACCTATTCTCCCTGAAAGTGGTGTTGTTTCCTCCCCCAATGTTGGTCCACATCACCACCATCATCACCATCACCACCACCATCACCACGTGCCACGGCCCACCAATGGTGGTGCCCCGCCCTCCACTTCAACCCCTGCCGCCCCCATACACGAATACAGCACAGTTGTCAATCTGCAACCGCTTCTACGAAGTGTTGCACATCGTCCCAGGTATCATCTCGGTTCGACGCTGTACGCCCCCAAGATCGGAATACCTACATCCAGGGCATCCGCGGAAAGTTCAAAATTTGGATACGTGAGTACACCAGTCCCTATTCCGCGGTTTGAAGGCAAGGAGAATTGCACGTATACGATACGCGTCCCACGGTTCCGCATCGACGCAAGCCACCGAGAAGAGATCTGCGCGCGACGAGCGCTCTGGGGCACAGGTGTGTATACAGATGACTCTGATCCCGTGGCAGCAGCAATACATTCTGGATTTATCCGCGGCGAATGGGGAGAGGATGTGGACGTGTCCCTGCTAGATCTGGAGATCAAGGAGGAACATCAACATGCACCCAATGGCAAGAACGGCACCACCTCTACATTTCACAAAGTCTCTTCCCTGGATAAATCACCAACCAAAGGTCCCACAACTGCTGCTCCCAAACCCGTCGGCGAAGTCGGACCAACAACGATCCCCACCGCCAAACCCAAATCCAAACCCAAACCCAGAACCCCACCTGTCCCACCTCCCAACAAGGATCTCCACATCACTCTCTTAATCCTACCCACCCTCGAACGCTACGACTCAACCGTGATGTATGGCCTCAAGTCGCGCGCGTGGGGAGATAACCACGACGGGATGAGTTTCAAAGTTGAACGGATTGACTGGGTGGATGAAGGGGGTTCGAAGGGGGAGGAGCGCGGTGGTGAAGCAAGAAGGAAGCGGCTGAGGAACATGATGCGGTCCGGGAGGATCTGTACGCCAGATGGGTTGAAGGGAAGGGGTGGAGTGGAGTTGCGGAATGGGACGAAAGTTGGGGGGTTGGGCACGGGCGTGGGCGTGGCTGTGGGCATAGGCATGGAAGGGGGAGAAGGGGGAAGAGGATCTACTGCTGTAGAGCCTGTGTCGTGACTCGTGAGGTCTGGTGCTGGGTGATTTGTAGCATATCATTATTTCTTTAACGCTCTTCCTCTTCTTCGTCTGTAGTATTCTATTGTGTGCTTTTATTTCTCTTTTTCTTGATTGTTTATTTTTTCTTTCTCCCTCTTATCTTCGGCTTCTGTTCCTTACTCTTTGTCTTGTGAGGTTTTTTGTTTATTATTCTGCTTTTGATATTGGATCAAGCAGTTGTTGTTGTTATCTGATTGGCTGTATAGGTGTTTTAAATCTGACTGGCCAAGGCGTCTGCTTTTCTTCCAACTTATCTAGATCCTTGGCTGTGGAAAACAGCGATCAGGAGGACTTTTCATCTGATACAGCTAGCGGGGCATCGCCCTTTGGCCCGGGACTGGGGGCGTTATGGGCGGAGTTCCTAGTGCTTAGCGCTGTCACACTGTCCATAGCCTGATTCCCGATATTACTTGTCTGATAGAATTTTTGTTTGCCATGTCGTCTGCCTCATGTTGTGACCTCGCTCCAAACAGCCTCGGCACTCGGTGATCCGGCGGTCGAGGATCGCGACAAAGACGGATGCCCATGGACCATGTGGATGGCGAATTTGTGTCAACGGAGTGGATTACCGAGTGGATGTTGTAGAGATGCGGCCATGGGCGTTGGGAGGAAATAGGCAGTATGCAGAAGAACTACCCGGCTCCTGGTATGGCCGGCGGGGTCACTCACTTTGCTCCATCGAGCCGGAACATCTGCCAGCCAAACTAACTTTCCTTCCTCTCGAGTCAAAACGGCCCAAACTCGCCCGCTGTATATCCACCGTTTCTACATCCCTTCATATCCTTCTTATCTCCTCCTCACCTCAACGTCGTCGCAAGTCTCAAGAGGGATGTTCCCTGCTGCTGCTCGTGGCCGTCTTGCTGTTCTAGGACGTGCTACATCTACCCTAGGCCCAGCCCGTACCACGGTTCGTTTCGCCTGTGCTCCTCTACGTACTGTGATTCACTGTTTTTCATGATCGTGGAGTCGCCATAGCTTGTTGTCTAGCTCACATGTATGCGATCTAGTCTCTCACAATGGCCCCTCGCCGCGCCAACTCGTCTTCGTCTGTTCCTCAAGGTACATCCACACGCATACTTTTGCCCCCCCCCCGTATGTTTTCGGACCTGTGAAGAGAGAGAGGAAAGAAAATGCATCAGGGATTTCTTCAAGCGTCTAATTGGTCTTGTGGCTTACTTTTGGATTGCTTTGCTCTGGTATAGGGTACAAAGAGGATCTATCCAAGGGGAAGATGCTCCGGTTCGAGGCTTCCCTCCCGAAACTCCCGGTTCCAGCCCTGGAAGAAACCGGCAGACGATACCTCAAATCAGTCCATCCGCTTCTCACCGAGTCAGAATTCCAAAAGACCTCAAAGGCCGTCGAAGACTTCGTTAAACCAGGTGGTGAGGGAGAACCTCTCCAGCGGCGGTTACTAGCCCGCGCTGCTGACCCCCAGCATGCGAATTGGCTTTACGACTGGTGGAACGAAACCGCGTATCTCGCCTACCGTGACCCCGTCGTGCCATATGTCAGCTACTTCTACTCCTACCGGGATGACCGCCAGCGGAGGGACCCTGCAAAGCGCGCCGCTGCCATCACCACCTCCGTACTGGAGTTCAAGAAGCAGGTGGATGATGGATCCCTGGAGCCGGAGTATCTACGCAAGGAGCCAATGGCGATGAGTTCATACCAATACATGTTCAATGCCTGCCGTATCCCAGCTGCGAAGGCCGATTATCCCTTCACATATCCTGCCAAGGGAAATGAACATATTATTGTGATCCGCAAGAACCAGATATTCAAACTACAAACCCACGCCAATGGCGAGCAGCTCAATACCTCTGAGCTTCAGCAGCAGTTCGAGAAAATCTACCAAAAGGCGGAGAAAGTCCAGCCAGTTGGTGTGCTTACCTCCGCTAATCGAGACTTCTGGACCAACGCCAGAGCAAATCTCATCAAAACCAGCGCCGCCAACGAGGCTGCGTTGGAGATCATCCAAAGCGCGTCATTCACTGTCTGCCTAGATGATGCCTCGCCCGTCACACTGGAAGAGCGCGCACACAGTTACTGGCACGGTGACGGCTGTAACCGCTGGTTCGACAAGCCCCTCCAGTTCATCGTCAACGAGAACGGCACCGCCGGCTTCATGGGCGAGCACAGCATGATGGATGGCACCCCAACCCACCGCCTCAACGACTACGTCAACTACATGATCTTCAACAACCGCCTCGACTACTCCAACCCAGAAATCCGCTCCACCCTCCCAGACCCACAGCCCATCCACTTCGAGCTCAATAAACAAGCCCTCGACGACATCGCCACAGCCAGCCACGCCTTCACCACGGTAATCGGCCAGCACGAGCTCCGCGTCCAAGCCTTCCAGGGCTACGGCAAGGGCCTGATCAAGAAATTCAAATGCAGCCCGGACGCCTACGTACAGATGGTCATCCAGCTCGCCTACTTCAAGATGTATGGCAAGAACAGACCGACCTACGAGTCCGCCTCGACGCGCAAATTCCAACTCGGCCGCACGGAGACCACTCGCTCCGTCTCCGACGAGAGCGTCGCCTTCTGCAGGTCCCACGCCGACATCAACGTGACGCGCGAACAAGTTGTGAAGAACTTCCGCGCCGCGCTCGCCGCGCATACCAAGTACACTGCCGACGCGAGTGTGGGCAAGGGCGTCGACAGACACCTGTTCGGGCTGAAGAAGCTCATCGCGGACGGGGAGAAGGTTCCTGCGCTCTTCCAGGACCCTGCGTATTCGTACAGCAGCACGTGGTTCATCAGCTCTACCCAGGTGAGTTCCGAGTATTTTAATGGATATGGCGGGAGTCAGGTTGTGGATGATGGGTTTGGGATTGCGTATATGATTAAGGGGAAAAGGTAGGTTTTTCTTTTCTTTTCTTTTCTTTTTTTTTTTTTTTTTTTTTTGGGGGGTGGGGGGGGGGGGGGGGGGGTCCATTCATAAATTTAAACTAACTCTTTCCTCTTCTTCTTTTTTCAGCATCCAATTCAACATCGTCTGCAAGAAACTCGGCGCGGAGCGCATGAGCTTCTACCTCAACGAGGCCGCTTGCGAGATCCGCGAGCTTCTCATGCCAGATCTCCTGGCTGAGTCGGAGAAGGCGAAGCTGTAAGAATAAAACAGCAACCGGTCTTATTTTCTGGTTATACATAGGTTTGCCGCTAGGGCAGGACTTGTCTGCACGGTGTAGAGGGGAAACAGAAAGAAGGTGGTGCTGGGGTACGCGGAAAGGAAACGCGCTGAGTGGTATTTAACTCTTTGGATGAAATGAATATGGGCTTATATACCTCGGTTTTCTTTTACGTGTACATATACCTAGATAGACATACATCATTCCCTTTTTTTTTTTTTTTTTTTTTTTTTTTTTTTTTTTTTAATTTATTCAACCCTATGTTTTTTATATATTTAGTTGGCTTGATTTTCTTTTCTTCGTTGTTTAGAAGAGCTCTGTAGACCGATACAAGAAAAATTACCATTTACTTTTACTTTATGCAAGAGAAATTTCCTTTGATGGTTTGGGAGTCTTCTTCAATATTCCCGTCCCCGGGAGATGGCTAGGTAGGACTGTCAGGAAGTACGCACAAACCAGTGAACGCCTAGAATGTAGGGTTCATAGGGTTCTAGTTTCCACCTAGCTACTTTGTACCAGCCTCTCAATATATAGTTATAGATATAGATATAGATATATTTCTGTGGAATTGAAAATTAAAAAAAAGTTTTGCATCATTAAATCCCCTTTTTCATCAAATCACTTCATGCCTATGGCTTCACCCATATGGAGCCCTGCGGGATAACAGAAATGCGAAATGAAAAAATGCCAAAAGTAGTACCTACAATAAATGCATTCATCGTAGTTGAATAAGAGGAGACGAAAAATGCGATGGGTTGACTGGATATCCTGGGAAACGCCATACACGGATACAAAAATTAGACAGACAAGAATACATATGAAAAAAAAAAGTCCGCAGCAGCAATAAATATGATTTTGAATTCTGAAACCCTGAAAGGAGGAATAAAGTGACAAAATGAGGAAGTGAAACAAATAGAAGATGAGAGATAATGAATGCCCTTTTCATTCAAGCATCGATGCATCCGTCACTGGCAGGCCATGTAGTACTTTACCATTCCTCACTGCCCGGCCAGACATGTGATGATGTACATGCAAAGGTAAAACAATCGTATGATTCCGCGCGCAAGCAAGATCGTTAACGGGTTACAAATTCATCAACTTCATTATAAAATGGGTTTACCGTGCGGTTAGCACGATATCAGAATCGGAAATACCCGGACCATGAGACTGAGAGCTGATGCAAATGGATAAGTGGTAGTGCTGTGTGTATCCGAAACAGATTTTAACTTGTTTTTCCGGGTCATAGATAACTCCATACGATTGTGTCGTGTGCTGGTGGTGGCTGAGGTACTTTGGGATATCGAATTGCACGCGAGTTCCAGCCATCCAGCAACATCGTTTGGTATCCGTGGAATTGGAGAAGTGGGCAGGAATTCGTATGATCAGGCAAAAATAAAACGCAATCGCGATTCAAATTGCGCGTGTCAAGGTTTTTCTACATCTTCCGCAGATTGCGGTGTTTGGGATGACTCCTCTGATTCGATTCTGGCTGGTGTTGGGGGCACTGCCTCTGCATTGGAGAGGCGCGAACTTGTGCTTGGTGTGTGAGCAGCTGATGAGCTTAGCTCAGCAACTTGGCGCTCTGAAATGGACAGAGAGGAGTCAGTGCTAGTGCTTTTAACTTTCTTTGAAAATCATACGACTGGATGTACGTAGAACCATACCTAGCTCTCGAATCCTCACTCGCAGCATTTGATTTTCCCTTGTTAGCATCGCCGTCTCCGCTTGGTAGTAGGACGTCTCGTCACGACTGCCATGTCGTCCACTGCCGTCTCCTCCTATTGATGACCAGTCAGAAGAGAGGATACCGGTTTCGGGCTCCACATGAGAGGGAATGGCGGGTGAATGGCCAGAACTGCGGCGTCTGGAAAGACTGGATGGGATTTGCGTTGAGGATCTGTGGGTTGGCGGAGGCGCCGGTACGGGAGGAAAGGACACGGAACGTTCAGATGTTGGAGTGGAATCGTCAACAATGGCAGTCCCTGACGCTGCAAACTGTTGTTGTTGTTGTCTCTGCAGCTGGGCTTGCTGTATCCGAATCATTTGCAGCAGTCGATTCTAGGTAGGTAAAAGAGCAATTTGTTAGCTTTCACATCATTTAAAGTGGGCGGTCAAATCTATATTATATTGTCCTCACACGTACCACCTGCGCTTCTTGCTCTTGCTCTAGCTCCTGATGTATCTCACCAAGGGATGGTGTTCTTTGGTGGTGAGGGTCACCAGTGGCGATAGTTGGGTTCCCGCCGATACTAGTTGGACTGTGGGTCCTATAAGAACTTCCAATGGATGAACGGTAATCACTACTGGACAGCTCGCCAGGGCCAGGTAAAGTCGGGTCATTTAAATTCAGATTCATGGCTACCGTGGACCGGCGTCGCTCGTGCACTCTGGTTGCATGCGGAGAACCGCGATTGGCACTGACTGAGGAACGTCTCGACCGGTCTGTTGCATTCATGGTCGCGGCAGCTGCAAGAGATGTAGAAGAAGAACGAGGGGAGAGCGATTGGCCCGACGGGATTTCTGCCGAATTGGCAAATGTACGGGCCTGGTAAGGGGAGTGAGAGGTAGAGCGGGAGGGCGGGAGAGAGTTGATGTCGGGCGGCATGGTTAGTAGTAACTTTATGTGATGTAAGCAATTCGCAAGGCTGCCAATTCGAATACGGTACTCCAGAGACACACAAAATAAGGCGAGAATTCCCTGAACCAAAACTCAGACTGTGCAAGAATACAAAGGAGAAAGCTGGAAATTTTGAAGCTGAGGTTGTAGGTGAAGTTGCTTGGAGCGGGACAAAAGCTTCACGTGTGACCGCGTTTGACCAATCACATGAGACGTCCGTCCAGGATGACATCATAACAAGAATACACCAAGGTTATCCTCTGAGAAAAAGATGCAGTCATGGAATGTGTCACTTCAGAGACGAACAAACAGTTGTTCCAAGTTTTTAACTACTTCAGTTTCAAATTCAATCCAGCTACGTCCCTCGTTTCCAATGTCTATTTCATTGGGATAAACACATTGAACCTCAAAATCAATCCAGCAACTCTCTCTTGGTCACCAGGAACATCTTTGAATAGAGATCATTGTGCTTAATCAAAGCTGAATGAACTTGCTGATGTCAATGACCACTCCCTGCATACATTCTTTTGAATAAGTAACACAGTTCATTACCAAAGGCTTTGGTAAGTACTCAATAAGAATGGCAGATGGAGGACCTGTGCCACGTTGAAATGTATCAAGATGAGGAGTACAGTTTGTGAGGTCAATAGCTAGCATAAGGCTATAGAAATTAGGTATAGCGCTATAAGCATATAGCTATTTGAACCGTTTAAGCCTGCAATATGCGCTTATCTCGTAGTGAGAGTGATCCAAATATCGAATACCATCGTGGGCGTGCCCAAGATATCCCCATTATTGTGGAACTGCAGTGCATCACGATCAGGAAAATGACCCAGGTTAGGGACAGCAGGAATGCTAAAATGAAGGAACTGTACATACAGCCTTCAATGGATTGCCACAGTAATTGACACGAAATATGGGGGGTGCTTCTGGGGCATTTACGGTTTCCTCAAACGCCATCTTTGTGAAAGTGATATCGATTTTGAAGCTGTCATCGAAGCCAGCCTCACTGTGATAGACGGTGTCCTCATTCCCGATTGTCCTGAAGAAATTGTCTGACATGGTGAAAGAAAAGAAATTGGGAATAGTGCAGCACCATCCTGATAGCCGCTCGTATGGGCAAGGAGGCAACACTTGGAGTGCTGATGTTGAATACTTGTCGTTGGAGATCATGGTTCAGTTGAATTCACAGGCATAAGTTGAACGAGGCTCAAAAATTTTTCAGCACCATTCAGAAATTCCGTCGAAAGCCAACAGCGATGATGGAAATGATTAAAAGAGAAAGGGACTTCGTTCTCGCAAGAACCATGTTGCACTCCTCGCAGCCCTGGCTTTATCGTTTCCCTCATGAGGGAGCTCAAAAAGCAATTGATCACTTCTTAACACTCCTTTAGCATTTGTTTTTGTGTATAATTGTTCCCTCACCAGATCTCTCTTTTGGTACCTTTCAAAATATTTGGGCGGTTAGCAGCGCCTTTTGAACAGAAAATGAGAGTATCGCCCCGTTATTTCTCGTCAAACAGGAGATTGGACAACCTGGGAGCTAACCCCATGAAGCCTACAAGTTGGGGTTTCTACTTTCCTTTTCCTTATCGCAGTGATTGTCACCGACTTCCCACTGCAGGCACTCTATTGCAAACCACGAAGCATAAAACGCATGCAGATTCGGAAAAAATGTCGTTATGAGCTATGAATTAAACAGCACATTCCGAGGCAGCGAAGTCTCCTGAAACAACCACAGCTAGTGAGTCAACGGCAACTTTCCAAACCTCCTGGAGGCCACCACCAAGTTCTGCAGCGAAAACAGGGGTAAAGATCCCTGAACCCAGGCGTATCCGCCGCTGAGGTTGTCAGTCTCAAGACTCCCCGAGGTTCGCCCGTTCAAAGTGAACATGTACTGTACATTCAGGCATCAACCATAAACGTCACAGCCCTGGGACAACGAGGAGTGGATCCAGTTATCCTGGAATATTGTAGAGGATGAGAGAACTATCGAGGGACACGATGTGGGCCATTTCAAGGGTGGAGCGACGAACGCAGAGCCTATCGTGTGGTGTGCGGGGATCGACTTTGACAATTCAAGCTGCCCGTAGCTGAGAGTGCTTTGCAGGGTGGATTGGTGTCAAGTCTTGGGGGGCATAGTTTTGATTTGGGATACTTTTGTTTGGTTTGAGGGTGCTTCCTGAGAACCAGGCAGGATATTCCGAATAGCAAAGGCGATTTAATCTTCGGTTTTCTTTGAGTGTTGTTGTCCTAGCTGTCAAATCGTGAATACGGCCACGCTGGTTTCATCAGTTAGAATTCCGCTTCGTTGCACTTCTACTGTATTAACATTTCTTTTTCATTCTTGATTTCAATGTCTGTTTATAGATAGAAGATATCTCATATCTTGAAGTGTGAGATATTTTCGAGGTGAGATTACAACCCTGGGGCAGACAGCCCCAGGGCGGAATTTTAAGTCAACACAGCCCTCCCTCTTCAATATAGATGAGGATAGAGGTATCTAGAAAGCGATATCCACACATTTGTTGGCTCGTGACTGGGAGTGACAAGCAACTTTATAAGGAATTTAATCCGCAGGCCATCAAATAGCAATGAGATCGAGACATCATTCGTAATCGAAAGCAGTGAGCCTTCCAACACTGGGAGCGGCATCTGACAAATTCCTTGTCAGAAAGCTCTCAGCCCTACCATATTTCTAGCCAGGCTTCCCTATGAGAAAAGGGAAGTAGAAATGTCAATAGAACAGAACCTGTCATGTGACGAGATAAGAGGTTGCGAAGTTTAATTGATCTGATTGACAGCTATATGACCAGCAAAAACTTCGCTGTAATTCGATGCTCTGAGTTTCTCCAATTATCCGCAGCTCATGCCGGGTGGTTGATCTGGTATCAGCAGCTTTGTTGGTGATCAGTGGAGGAACTAATGAATGACTGCATTGGGCTCTCAATCCTAACTATCAAGCTACCCTTGTAACAAGCTATTCGACCGCTCAATGACGGACGGAACTCCGATCGGATCACCATGCGGAGAAAGGTTACATAGTGGGAGATAGTGTGTTGCGCAATCGCTGTACAGCGTATGTTTCTCAGAAAACATATTTCTTTGAAGTTTTTGCTTGCCCTTGCGGATCTGCTGTTGGTTACATGTAAGCAATCAACCAGTGATCAGGTTACAGGTACGGAGTAGGCCGGACAGCTTAAAAATAAAATCCGAGCTAGGAAGAAAAATGGAGACAAAGGGAGAAAGAATTTTTCTCTTCCTCTCGACGCGCAAAATAAACAACACGCCGTCACCAAATGGTCGAGTCTCAAGCTCTTGGCCGAAATGTCATTCCCTGCCAAACCTTGCAACCAAAATTGGCTTCCGGTTTTGACAAAGGGATAATGTCTCCGCCCGAGGAGTCCCCCGGTCCATAAAAAAAAGTTCAAACAGCAGCCAAGGCGCTATTACCTGTCAAGTTATGATATTATTCATGGGTTGGTAACCCATGTTGGACAGGGGAGGTTTTGTTTGATAAAACGAAACACAACCCCCCCTAATGCCCCTCTAATTTTGAGCCCGAAACAAATGGAGGGGCTAGAATGCGGAGGAAGGAGTAGGTATTCTGAAAATCTGAGTTGAGGAATGATACCAGAATAGTGGTTAGTCAATCTGGGGGACGCCCTCCATATATGTGGCTGGAATGACTTTGTTGTTTTTTGCCTCCTCGATATGACACGCAGCTTGTGGAGGTTAACTCTCTGAGCCAGGAGCTGATTTGCAGTTGTCTTCTGGGACATTTCAATAGTCGTTTGCACATCGCACTAATTTCCAAAGTTTGCTGCATCATGCATGTGTCCAAAGCACGTTTGGTAGAACTTGAGCTTGGCGGTCATCATGGAGGCGATCTGCGCCTAAATCCTCTTGGGATCAAGTCGTCGATGAAATATCCGGTGGCCAAAGGAACCGGTGGTTCGCTAACTTTTTGGGCACCTCCGGCCTAGACCTCACTGGGGCTGGTGGTGTTTCTCTGGGGCATCGCGCCAAACCCCGATTCAATAGTTCCAGAAGCGAGTCTGAGCTTTCTCGTTCTCAAAAACGCCCCCGTGTACGAAGTTAGGATCCACTGCCCCATACACAGCTGGGCGTGGTGATCCACCGTACTGTAATTTTGTGTCTCTCGTGCGATGTCGTTGCTTGAGTGGTCAACTGTTCCATGCTCCGAAAAATGTTCTGTCTCATCATGCGCTTTGCACATCTTGCTATCTGCGAGCCAGGGAGTGAGGTTGAATCGTCAGCATCTTGACCCAGAAGAACCCTCTGCAGGAAATCCGTTTTATTCCCTTGAAACGGCATGTATTTGGTAAAGAATCTGCCGGGGGCCCAGGTGGGTGCAAATGGGCTAAAAATGGACTGCTCATGGGCCATGGTCTTTGATCATATTGGTGCTGGGCGAGCGTAAGCACGACAAGGGCGGCAGGGCTGGCTTACATAGCGGTCCTGGGTGGCATCAGCCTCTTTCGTCCCTCTCAAGCCTCCCTGCGAGACTTCCGTCAGCCCAAGAATGGTCCCCCGTCCGCCCTCATATCATCAGCCATCGATGGCTTTGGCGTTTCTTTCTTCTTGCTGCATCGCATCTGCATCCGATCCTTCGTCCGTAAATATACTGCTACACTCATACCTCAACCAAAGCCGAGGCCCCGAGCCACTGGATACATTAATTATAGAGCTATGAGCAGACTCGAATAACGAATAACGACTACTTTCCCGCCAGCTGACTTGCTCTTTACTGGGTCAATTGAGCTACTCCAGGCCTGTTGAAGCCGTTCGCTTTCGCTATTATCTAAAAAATCAGACCTGTCGAATTCGCCGCCAACTTCCTTGCCGGCTCTCATGTTCTAGCAGAGTAGAACGACCCTTCGTTTCTGCGCCTGTCCCACCGTTCTCCGCCGAGATCCATACGACTACCATTGGGAAATTAATGAGGGAAGATATTGGCTTAACCATAAGATATCCAAGGACTCGACGTGATCCGTTGATAGAAACGGTGGTTTGTGGCACTTGGTTTTGACTCAAGAATTTGCATGTCGTCTCTTCTACAAGCAACTAAAGAACGCACCAGCCTTGAAACACCGATCGCTTCCAGTTACTGCAACCTTCCTCTTCGACTACCTATTTGATAAACGAGAGGAGTGACCTTTTGTTTCAACGACCAAATTTTATTTTATTTTTATTTTTATTTTATTTTTACTTTTATTCTAAAGGTGGCCGGTCCCCAACGAAATGGTTGGTATCCTGGGGATAACTCGATCTTAGACCTCCTAATATCTAGCCCTGCAAGTTTGGCTCGTCATTGAGAGATGGACTCTCCTAATGGCCAATCCGTACTTAGCTCAAGAAGGGGCCTGAATCTCCGTCCAATTCAGACAAATATCAATAATCCTAATGTCCGTCCAAAACGGCCTCCTCGCCCTGATGACGAGCTCACCCCGGAGGTGGCCACCGCGGCGCGACTTCCTCTCAAGCCGCAAGCTTCAAAGTCATCTTTAAAGAGCCTGTTTTCACGTAATAAGGCGAGTCGCCGTTCCAATCATGAACACACCCTTCCGGCTATTGCAGAATCACAGAAGACAATGGGCGCGAACATAATACCACCCATTAGCCCGTCGACAACTCCAATGACGCCCAAATCTTCAGCAACTACATCTTCACCTTTAGTGGGCAAACCAGGCGCTATCAATCCTTCACAGGCTTCCAAGTTCTCAAAAGAGAAAGGCCAGAAACTGCACAGAACAATCACCGTCTGGGACCCACCACCTCTTTTCCAAGCATATCCCCAGGCAATCAAACAAGGCACGCTTCCTGCCCCAACACTCTCCGCAGGACCTATTTTACGAATAAAGGGCCACCGAAGAAATAGTAGTGTTAAAGACGACATTTCAGATGTTGATGCCGACGATGAAAGGGTCTCCTCAAGGGCCTCTAGGAAGCGGAAAGATGAAAAGCACAACAAGCATTCACGCAAAGCTTCTGCTTCTATCAGCAAATCGGACTGGACCCAGAAAATTTTCATTCTAGTCACGAGCGGCTATCTTTTACAGTATGCCGGCGATGGCAGCTTCGATCGCTTACCTGAGAAAATGATGGAGCTTGGGAAAAACTCGGTGGCATTTGCGAGTGACGCGATTCCAGGCAGACACTGGGTGCTGCAAATTTCACAAACACTTGAAGAGGATGGAACCGTGTCTTTGGATACGAAGAAGACTTTTCTCTCTCGGTTTGGATTTGCAGATTCCCGAAGACAGGCGAAGACCTTACTCTTGGTTTGTAATGACCCAGCCGAAATGACATCTTGGCTTTCAGCTGTGAGACGGGAAATCGAAGCTTTAGGCGGGAAAGAATACACGCCCGAAACACCGATGGAAGAAACGTCTCAGGATTCTCAGCAATCCGAAAAGAAGCTCATTCGGCAATCTGTGGTACCTGACAAAAAACAATCACCACCTATGAACGTAGCAAATCCGGGATCCGCGGAAGCCTCTCCAAAGGTTTCAACGCCAAATCCCAACGAAGAGCAGAAGCCAGAAGGTGACAAACCCGCCGATGAAGCATCACTAAAATCCCTAAATAGACGATCGATTCGCCCACAATCTGTCGAAGCTCCTTCACTCTCGACTACTGGGACGGTTACAGATCTAGATCGATTACGGGAGGGATCAAGGTTATCTTACGTTTCCATCGGGACGAGGACTATACCAAGCTCCAGGGGTTCTTCTCCAGGCCTATCTCCTGTTAGACCAAAGGATGTTACCACTATGTCTCCATATGCTGATTCCCCACCTAGCGTTAGGAGTACAGTTGCGGACTCCAGCAGCACACACAAATCTAGTCATGCGTATTCCTCAATGCTGTCCGAAGATAATGGCACAGACACTCCCAGCGCAGCTCGCCCACTGTCAACTGTTGGCCCATTAATATCCAGAAGTACATCTCCTCCCAATTTCAGCGTGCCAGTGTTCAGCAAAAGATTTTCAGCAACACATTCTGGCGCATCCCCATCGTCTAGGAAATTTTACCACACCTCTCCTCCCGACTCGCCGCGCATCATCATGCCGGGCACTCGCCATCGCCATCGCTTTTCTGGTCTGGATGACTCTGTCGCACCTTCGCAATTATCAACCGGTCAGGCGGATTCGAAGCAGTCGTTGAAAGACCCAACTAATTCCCAACACCCTGCTCCTTTCATATTCGACCCAGAACCCCCCTCGCGCACCTCTGTCTTGCCAAAGCCAAGGGAGAAAAAAGCAAGACGGTATTCGTCTTTCGAGTCGACTCGTGGTACTCACAGTGTATCCTCAGACTATCGCCCACAACTTTCACCAGTGATGAACGATAGTAGTGAAGAGGGAGGGAGTAAAGGCGATACGTTCTCACATCGCAATCCACCGCAAACATACAAGCAAACCAACTACGTGCTTCCAAAGGCTAACAATGAAGTACGACAACTGCGCCGACCAATGAGCCTGCAGATTGGATCCGAAGCCCGCCGCCGGGCAGAGGCAATTCACCCACCACCCACCACTACTACCACCCATCCGCACTTTCCATCCCCTGACACTCGATCTCCTTATCGTCGAAATCGAGCCAGTTTAGCCCACCAAGAAATAATAAGCGCCACTTCACCCCCGGCTCACTACTCATCAGAACCCGACCCAAGCCCCCTGCAGAAGAGCACATCGAATTTATCCGTCCGCCCACCCGTCGCTCCTCCGCCGGATTTCCCGCTGCCAAGAGTCCCACGCAGAGTCTCATCGCACTTCAGGCCAGCATGGCATGATCATCAACAACATACATTGAGGCCCGCGCGTGAATCTGGTATCCCTCGATCCAGAACAGGGCCAGATGGGCAAAGAAATACCCATACACAAATTGTGCCTGTTGATCTGCGGGACATTGAGAATTCGCCGCAACTGAGCGGGATGACAGCGAAGGAGTATAGTATGGTGAATGCGTTCTAGTTCAGCAATATGGATGCACGCCCTAATCATCTATTCTTGGTATTACTTAGAGCCGGTGTTGTTTTATTTTCTCTACACATTAGCAAATTCGTGATGTCAATTTCATATTTCCCCCTTTCATGTCGTTGGGTAACTATTTGGTTTTGGACATTAACGGATGTATATACACCAAAAGTGAGATGTTTCGCTTTCTGTTTGTCATATACGCACGGTACGGACGTATACATACCCCCTTGTGCCCTAACCCATTTCACGTTTTATATTTTCTGTTTCTCCCCCCATCTAGGTTTACGAACTCCATAACACATACGAAAAAAAGAATACTCCAGCTTTGCCCCTCCCCTTTTTTCCTTTTCCTTTATTTCTTTCTACTATGCACTTTACGTGTACAATCGATATGTCAACAATATATACACTCGCAAAAAAACAATATTTTATGTATATACTGCATGTGCTGGCCGAAACATTATTTTTTTTCTCCTCATGATTCGCGTGCATTCTTTCCATCCCCGTTTTCCTTGTTCAAAAATGCGTGGAGGCCAAAGGGAACTCAACAAAACAAGTCTGGCACCTTCCCCTAACGACCATTTCGGAGGCCAGCTTAGGAGATATATGAGATATATCGTTGCTTATAGAGAACCTGATGGGTTGGTGAGGTTACTTATGTCCATGTTAAACTGGAACACAGATCATTCGTTATCCTTAGATAGACATAGTTATATGTATCTACGGGATGGAAAACGGCACGGAGACAACGGAACGACGTGTACGAAGTGTATTGTTATTTTACAAAAATCGCCGGTAAGGGGCGTGAAAAACCTTTCTTTTGTTAAGCAGTCCGATAACTAAAGGGTATTTGATTATTACATAGCTTCCATTGTTTCTTGTCACATCTTCTTTTTATCTTTGGTTGGTTCCTAAAACGCCTGTTATTCACCTGCGTTCGGAAAAGTGTAACTAAAATAGCCTTAATTATTTCTGCTCTAATACCAACCAAGAGAAATGTAAAAATCAAAGAAAAAGAGAGGGAAAGAAAACCGATCATAGCATCCTTTCCTCACGGGACAAATATGGAAAATGGCGGGGGAAATGGGGCTAAACACAAGTGGTAGTTAAAATAACAGAATAGTAAATAAACTAGCACAGCCGATGGGGCCATGGCCAAGGGAAACTGAAATAAAAGATGAAAAAAAGTGCATTTCAGTGCTGGGGCCAAAAAGTAACGAACAAAAAAAAAAATTATTACAATTATTCATCGTCCGCTTCTTCCACGCGCGGTGCAAGATCTCGTTTTATCGCTTCGCCCGCTGCCACTCCTGTTGATGAGCCACCTGTGTTGGATGGAGGAGCTTTTACGGAGTTGGCTGACTTGGAGGCGGAAGACGCGGCTGTGCCTGTGCCTGTGTTGGTCTTCTTAGACTTCTTCTTACTTTTCTTGCTCTAAGTGATTTTCTGCGTTAGTGAACATCATCGATGATAGCGAGGATATATAATTGGAGTCAAAACAAACCTCTTGCCAGCCCCACACGGGTCTGAAACTATCAAAGAATCCCACATCCTCAAACAAATTGGGGTACAGCCAAAGGCCCGGTGGAACAGCAAAGTACGTAACACAGAATAAGATGAGCCGGAAAATCGACATGGCGAAAAATAGGCCTAGCAAGCCCATGGCACCAATACTCAAGTACCAAACACCTTGCCTCAACATAATAGGCCACAGCGGGAACATCACAACTGCCATGATTACTACCAAGACACCTGCGGCCATAGCCTTTTGCTTCCACTGGGGGCCTTCATATAGCCATACGTAGTGCATCATCGGATCTATCTCCTGGTTCTGCTCTACTTTTACTGTCCACAGGCCCTTCACGCGGTTTTTTGGTTTCGCATGGTTGTGGCCGGCATGTGGATCAACTTTGGAAACTCGAAGTGCAAGGAGCGAGAGCGGGAGGAGTTTGAAGGCATTTTCGGCCGAAGCCTTATCTGTCACTGGAGGAAGTAGAGACTTGGCTTTCAACTGAGCTTTGGCGTATGCAGGCGATTGAATAGCTCGTATAGCTCGCTTAACTGGTTTATTTTTAAATTTATGTGTTAGCTTTGTGCCGTATGACTGTCTATTCAACGGGCAGATAATAGCGGACCTTTGAACAGCTCTCTCCTTCGCCCATCCAGAATGCAAGTTCTCGGCTTCAAATTTTGTGACCTGAGAAAATCTGCCACTGCGACGGCACGGGGGTTTGGTGGTGCATTCGAGTTCATAGGAACATGTTGCGGATGATTTTCTCCATGCTCATGTGCACGCTTGGCCTGCTGCTGCTGCTGATGTTGTTGCAAAGCTTTGGCTTTCAGTTGGGCTATATATTGCTCCGGCGTAAGGCCTTGTTTCGCAGCCTCTGCCGCAAGCTGTTGTCGTTGCATATTGCTAAATTCCTCAGGGGTCATTCCTCTCTTTGCAGCTTCAGTTGTGAGGTGGTGTTGCATGGCAGCATGCTGCTGGGGGGTTGGCTGACCGGGAGTCGCCATTATGGAGGAGCTGATTAATAATAAACAACAAAAAGAGGGATCAGCTTGAAAAAAAAGTTATTTAATATGTTGTCTTTTGGCTGATTTTCAGCGGATTTTGAAGTGGCCAGATCAGATACTGAGTCATGTGACAACTATGCGTCTAGCGCGCTTAATCTACTTAATCTATCAAGAAAGGCTTGCAGATGCAATTATGTCATCGCCATTTTTCCCTTGCGACCATCGGCTAGCTCGGAGGGACTTTTTTTGCGCCAAAAGTTTGCTGAGTAAATCATGCTTAGCAGTCAGCATGCGCAATTGCAATTGCTCAGGGGCCACAGAGTCGCTCTGATGCGGCTTATGCCAGGCGACTTCCAGCCATTCGGGCGTTCGATTTCATTCCTTTCATGATGCTCAGGGCCCTTGGCCCCTCGAGAATCATTCATTCACGGCATGTCCACAACAGGAAATTATACGCCTGATCACAGCGCTCTTCTGGTCCGTCCGTGGACAGTTGTGCAGCTGGTAAGATTCATTTTGTAAAGAAATTTGTTTCGCTTGGTTGAGCCGTTTTCCAGCTAACATAATACCTACACCACAGTCGCAACGTGATGTTTCGTCGCAGATACCTCTCAATCATGTCGCGCATCCAGGCATCGATGTGACCTCAGCTTGTTTTGGAAATAATATATATGAAGAACAGGCAATGGTGAAATGTATTTCGAACCTTTTAGCTCTTGATAATCGCCGTTTCCATGTCGACCTATACTGGTCCACAGACTATCGCCGGTGGACTTTTTGTCCCGTTACCGTCAATTCCTCTGTGCCGGTCTCCCCTGCCAGGATACGTGCGCTAAGCCGACCCGTGTCAGTCCTTGCTGATGATGTTGGATCGCAATTGTGCTCTCAATCTCTCGATGTCTCCATATTTCTCAGTTTATTACGCAATTACTTTTCCGACACGAACGATACGCTCAATGCTCATTTGTTATATATTCTACTTAATGTTCATTTTGCTGCGTCATCGAATTCCTCTGATGAGCCCAGCAGTGCACCAGCTCGTGACAAGCTTCCGTCTGGTCGAGAGCTTCTTGGATCGCTTTTCCATGAAGCTTTGGGGCCGTATATGTACACTCCAAAACTACTGCAGGACGAGAGAGCAAACCTGAACCAGTCGTGGTATTCTGTTCCCAAATTTGCCCACCCCATAGCTGAATATTTTACGACTCACAAAGACTCGAAAGATGTCCATAGCACTCCTGATGGCTGGCCATGCGAAGCCTATGTAGAAAGACGGCGCCTAAGACGATTTCTAGTCGGCTGGGCCAGTGCAGATGCTCAGATGGCGGAGTATGATTTCAATGGAGATAGCAATCTTATTTTCTCTATGGGCTTACTCGCAAGATCCCGAGGAGTTACCATATCTAATGGCAGTGATGCAAGTGGTGATCCGATAATCAAATCTGGGTGTCTGTTCGACCGAAAATCGACAGACCCTCCTGATCTGAGCGCTTCATGGCCTGAATCAACCGTCACTGAGCACTTTGATTCTTATCCTGTTCATTCGTTGTGTAGTGAGTTGATGGCCTGTGGTATCTCACCCATAGTGAATTCCACACTTTCCAATGTGACAGCCGATGAGAATTTCAAACCGTATAAAATCGCTTCACAATCTTCGTCGTGGGCCTGGGCGCAAGGCCAGCCTGATCCAGATGATTCTCCTACAGATCTGTTTCTATCTAATCTTAGGTGTGCTCGGGCAGATGCTTCTTTCGAGGGACGCTGGTTCCCCGCAAAATGCTCCGGCGATCTTTACGGTGCATGTCGTGTTGGAAATGAACCGTTCCAATGGACCCTGACACGCGAGCAGGTTTCCTATGACTCTGTCGCAGCTCACTGCCCGGAAAACTCTACCTTTTCTGTCCCCCGTACAGGCCTCGAAAACACATATCTATACCACTACCTCATCTCCCTGCCCAAGAATATGATCGACCCGTCGTCTGAAGACTATGACTCGCGTAGTGTCTGGATAGACCTCAATTCACGCGATGTGCCCACTTGTTGGGTTTCCGGGGGCCCTAATGCTCAGTGTCCGTACGAAGTGGACGAAGCCGCTGTTCAACGGCGGACGGTTCTTGTTCCTACGGTTGCAGCTATAATTGTCTTGGTCATCGCCGCATTGACAATATTTGTCAAGTGCAACTCCAATCGCAGGAATTCGAGGTGGAAAAGGATTATTGAGGGATGGGAATACGAGGGTGTTCCCTCCTAGTACATATGTTATCCCCATTTTGAATGTTTATTATTCCCGTTAATATGACCTACAACTTTCGCTGTATTTTTGATATTGTGACACTTTTGGACATACTTCTTTGCATATCTCGCCTTTACCTACTTCTTCTTTCTTTCTATCTTTTGTCTACATGTAACTACCAATTATTTTGCATTTAATTTATACATTAAGTTGAGAGTGGGCGAGCCGAAGACCAAGAGATGGAGATTTCAACCCTTTGGCCACTGGATCAAAAACCTCTATCTGATATAGAGAATATACACTGTACAGTTCTCCGAAATGTATTACAAACCCTATCGTCGCACTGGAAGCGCATCACACCAACCAATTCGAAAAGGGTAAACCATCCGACGAATACATCAGAATCTCATGACAAAACGTCAAGCATTTCCTCCACCCTTCCAAATTTCTCCTTCACTTTCCCCACAGCCTTTCCCCTTTCAATCTCAGCCCGGTCAATCCGCTCCCAATCCTCCCAACTTGTCGGACGAAGGCCCAGCTCCCGCACTTCAGGAAGCACTCCTTCCCAACCAAGGCCCGAACTTCCACTTTCAGATGAATTAAGGAATGCATGTCCGTGACTACTAGTGATATGGTACGCCCAATCAGCCGCAATAGCATCAGCAGTATCAAACGCGTCCGTCATTGTCGACGCGATGACGCCAGTTGGGCCTCTCTTCACCCACCCAGCACAGTAAAGGCCAGGTAGTTGTACGGCTTCAGAAACCTCTGCCGATTTGGCAGTTCTGTTAGGTGCGGGAGGTATTGCAATAACACGGCCCTGGCCGTCATTAGGGATAATACCGCGTGAAGAGTTGAATTGGATATTCAGGTCCTCGAATCCGGGGAGCGGAAGGGATTTGTATCCGATGCTCCGGAAACAAATGCTGGTGGGGATATCGGTGTGGGCAACATGGCCGTCGTCTTGGAACAAGGGAGTTACTTTTGAGGTTGGGGAAAAGGGGTCCGCGGGGTCAAGTTGGTTTCTGGAGAATTTCATGTATGAGAGAACATCCGGACGTGATGGCGAACTATGGAAGGAGTGTGGCGAGAGGAGAAAGTCGAGGGACCAAGATTTGGAGGCGTCTTCGGGTTTTGTGAGGGATCCTTTTGCTAGGAGTTGGGTTAAGCGTTTTTGGGCTCTTGGGAGAGATTTAATGGTTATATCTGGAGGGAAAAGATGCTCGGGAATAGGCTCAAATGATACGGAAGGGAGCTGGAGGATTTCTCGTACTTCTTTGATTGTGAATGCGGCCTGGGAAGTAATACGTTACATTATACATATAATCACGAAACTGAAAGCCCGGGGTAGGAAGAAGCATCCCTACCTGCATAGGACCTCGTCGTCCGACCACTCTGACCCGCTTGATTGTGCTCTTTGATAATTCTTCCAGTGCATATTCCGACATATCCGTCTTTTTCAAGGCATCGACATTTGTAAGGAGGACTCTAGCGACATCCATGGCTACATTTCCATGTCCGATCACTACCGCATCCTCCCCCGAAGTCAAGTCTGGTGCCAGATCTCTGTATTCGGGGAGTCCATTGTACCAGCCAACAAAGGCTCTAGCTGAGTATATACCACGCAGAGTCCTTTCCCCCGGAATTTTAAGCTCTTTATCCTTCGAGGCCCCGTAAGCAAAGAGTATAGCATCGTAATGTGGCTTGAGGGAACGCAACGGAAGATCCACCCCCAGGTCAATATTCCCGATAAAATTGAATCGCGGAGAAGTCGCAACTTCAGTAAATTTCTCCTGGCAATTCTATGGCAACCGAGGCGAAATGATTTATACACTTAGCACATTTCCCATTATATTTCGCAACTCATCTATGATTAAGCACATACCTTCACCTCCGGATGGTCTGGTGCAACTCCAAAACGGACCAGGCCAAATGGGACGGGGAGCTGCTCGTACATGTCCACAAAAGCATCTTCAACCTTGGATATTAATCTATATGCCGCATAGAATCCAGCAGGCCCTGATCCAACAATTGCGACACGTAGTGGGCGGCGACGGCTTTGAACCCCATGGATGCTGCTGAACTGCTTTCTCCGCAAGATCCAAGGTGTCTGTACTCTTGTTCGGAAGGGATGAAACAATCTATTTGAACGAGAGAAGCAACGAGCGCATATATTCGGAGTGCACAATGTGTTCATTGCGAGGATACCAGGTGATATTTTATATAACTCTCGAGCGCCACAGAATGAGGACCGCCTCAACGAATTGTGATGCAATCCCCAAGTTGGTGTGGTTGCCCTGCCAACTATCACACTGTATACCACAACGAACGTCACAACAGCGGCCACACACACCCCTCTCAACCTTCGGCGACAGTGAGGGTTACATATTTAACCTTCTTCAATTTTTTGTATTTTTGCAATCCGGGATATCATAAACGGTGCATTCATTCTTTCAGATATCTGCGCCCTAGGTTTTCTCTTCTCACACGCCAGCTCTGCTTTCCTCCCGCGCCATGGGACGAGTAGAGCCGCCGTTCATGTATGACCCGCCATCCTCCAACCGGTTCTCTGGTGTTTCCGATAAATTTGACCCAAAATCTGTTACGCGGGAAAGCTGGACCCCGCGCGAACCTCGGATGGAAATAAAAGGACCTCTAGTGAATTTCAATACACATCCGGATTCTGTAAGGTCTCCGCTGCTGGTCAAACGCAACGTAACCAAGAACCAAGTGCAGCTAACGTTTTTCGCAGTATATTGTGATTCCGGATGGAAAATTTAACAAGAAAACAATGAGCCCTAAGACAAAGCACAGGATAAAGTACACGAGAACCTTTCAACTGGTCTTGAGAGTTTGTACCTTGATCGGAAGCCTGGGACTGCTGTTCTGCGTCATATGTATCAATAAGACAGCCGGTGTAGTGTCGTGGATGATCCGTGTAGCAGTACGTTTTTGCTTTTCTCTAAATATATGGTCTTGCTGTTTGCTAATTGCATGCTGTAGCCTGGGGTGACAATTCTACATACCATCTACGCGATCTACCATCTATCTCGGTCTTCTGCTGCACGCACTCCTGCTTCATCCGCGAGCTATATGTTGTTCGCTTCCGTTATGGATGCTGGGCTTATTCCACTTTATGTTTTCACAGGAATCATAGCTCGGGTTGAACAAACCAGCAAGATATATGGTTGGGGGACATTGTTCGATACTGATGTGGCAGCGAACAAAATCGAATACGCGACTTTTCTTGGTTGCTCAATTAG